GGATTACAGGTGTGAGTCACCGTGCCTGGCTGTGTCTCTCTAGTTTTACTCCCAGGCTAGCACTGCTCCCTGGGTGACCGGTCCCTAAGCCAGGGCCCAGAACACCCACAAACGGTGACTGCCAGGCTGCTGTAAGGATGGTGCTTTCCCTCCCGACACCCGTCAGTACGTGGTGACAGACTCACTGAACGCCGGTGAGGGACGCAGCCCAGATGCCATCCGTCCGCGCCCCATTCTGGCTGTGCCAGCGGCAGGACATTGCCATCTCAGTCTCAGCGCCCTCTTGCGGGACCTCGCTGGGCCCTGCCCCCATCGTTTTTTTCTGCCCCTTCTGAGCTCCCTCCTGCATCACGCTCCACATGGTGTAACTGCTTACTGGGAACCACATTCCAGTAGGGCCTCTGGGGCTGTGTACCCAAACATCAAGGGAATTCTTTAGTGGCAATCAAGACAACTCATTGAGATGTGCTGTTTTTGCAGAGAGCTGCATGCATCTATTATTTCCTTTGTTTGAAATAAAAATATCTTATACTTCTTTTCACGTTTTAAAATGTATGCTCCTTGTTAAAAAAACAAAAAACAGACAACAAAAAAACAAACAAAAAACAGACAAAGAACAAAACTCAAACCTGTGGCCACATCCTGGGATCTCTCTCTACTCCACTCTGTTCCCCAGAGCTGTGTCATCTTTTAAACATGTGCTGACTTAGGAGTTCAGTGATTTAATTGTTACTTTAATTTGCATCCCTTTGTAGCCTAATGAGATGGAGCTTTATTTCAGGCGTTCCTCATTGATATTTCCTCTTTCTTGGGAACTTCTGGTTCAAGTCTTTTTCCATATGCGGAATTTAAGGCTGAATTTATGGGATTTTAAAGGCTCTGCAGGAAGCAGAAGTTTGGCACCCATGGTCTTCAGTCCTGGTGTCCTGCCCATGGTTGTGTTAGATGAGATGGCAAAAAGGATTTTGTAGACACAACTGAAGTTGCTAATGAGCTGATCTTAAATTAGGGAGATCATCCTGGATTATCTGATGAGCCCAGTGTAACTGTTCCCAGAAAGAAGTCCTGGTCTAGATCCCAAGAGACGGTTCTTGGATCTCCTGCAAGAAAGGATTCAGGGCAAGTCCACAGTGCAAAGCAAAAACAAGTTTATTAAGATAGTAAAGTAGGCTAGGTGCGGTGACTCGTGCCTGCAATCTCAGCACTTTGGGAGGCTTAGGCCAGTGGATCACCCGAGGTCAGGAGTTCGAGACCAGCCTGACCAACATGGTGAAACCCTGCCTCTACTAAAAACACAAAAATTAGCTGGGCGTGATGGCGTGTGCCTGTAATTCCAGCTACTTGGGAGACTGAGGCAAGAGAATCGCTTGAATCCAGGAGGTGGAGGTTGCAGTAAGCTGAGATCGCGCCACTGCACTCCAGCCTGGGGGACAGGAGTGAAACTCTGTCTCAAAAAAAAAAGATCAGGCGCAGTGGCTCACACCTGTAATCCCGCCACTTTGGGAGGCCGAGGCAGGTGGATCACCTGAGGTCAGGAGTCCGAGACCAGCTTGACAAACTGGTGAAACTCCGTTTCTACTAAAAATACAAAAATTAGCCAGGTGTGGTGGTGGGTGCCTGTAATCCCAGCTACTCAGGAGGCTGAGGCAGGAGAATCACTTGAACCTGGGAGGCAGAGGTTGCAGTGAACCGAGATGGTGTCAATGCACTCCAGCCGGGCAACAGAGCGAGACTGTCTCAAAAAAAAAAAAAAAAAAGAAAAAAAGAGAAAGTAAAGTGGTGACAGAACAGCTGCTCCATAGACAGAGTTAGGATGTTCCGGAAAGTAAGGAGGAACGCATCCACCCTAGGTACAACACTCCTTTATATATAGGATGATAAAAGATCAAAGATCATGAGGACATGTGTTCTGCTAACAGGGTTTGTGATAAATAATTTTCTTAATTACTGTATTTTGCAAGGATCGGTATTATTCTCTTTAAAGCAAAATTAGGAATGCTTCTGTTCTCAAGATATCAGGATATCAGGACACTCCCAAGTCTAGGTCTATTTAGTAAACATTATCAATCTGTTCCCTTAATTGTGAACATCTAGAGGCCGGGAATGTCTCACTTTCTGGGAATGCAGATCAACAAGTCCCGGCCTCATTTTTCCTAGTCCTCACTCAAGATGGAGTTGTAGCAAGTCCCAGCCTCATTTTTCCTAGTCCTCACTCAAGATGGAGTTGCTCTGGTTCGAATGCCTCTGACATAATCATACGAGCCCTTGGCTCACTGCAACCTCTGCCTCTCAGGTTCAAGCGATTCTCCTGTCTCAGCCTCCTGAGTAGCTGGGATTATAGGCGCCCGCCACCATGCCCGGCTAATTTTTGTATTTTTAGTAGAGATGGGGGTTTCACCATGTTTGTCAGGCTGGTCTCAAACTCCTGACCTCAGGTGATCCGCCTGCCTCGGCCTCCCGAAGTGCTGGGATTGCAGGTGTGAGCCACCGCACCTGGCCTGAAAGCAGAGTCTTGACAAATTATTTCTACATCCATGTTCACAGCAGCATTGTTTACTACAGTCAAAAGGCGGAAGCAAGTCAGTGCCCATCTATGGATGAATGGATAAGCAAAATGTCATGGATACATACAGTGGGGTATTATTCAACCTTAAAAAGGAAGGAAATTCAGACACATGCTACATGGATGAACCTTGAGGATTTTAGGCTAAATGACATAAGCCAGTCACAAAAGAACAAATACTGCAGGATTCCACTTATATGAGGAACCCTGAGTCGCCAAAATCGTAGGGATAGAAAGGAGAACGGTGGTTTCCAAGGGCTGGCGGAGTGAGGAGTCAGTGCTTAACGGGTCCAGAATTTCAGTTTTGCAAGATGAAAAGAGCTCTGGAGCTGGAGGTGATAGTTGCATAGCATCATTAACGTATTTAATATCAATGAGCTGTACACTTAAATATAGTTTCATGAACTAAAAATATCTGAGACAGGTCTCAATCTATTTAGTAAGTTTATTTTGCCAAGGTTAAGGAGTGCCTGGGAGGCAGGTCTATGCTTTCCTCGGAGGATGATTTGTAGGACTTCAATCTTTAAAGGGGAAAGAGGCCGGGTGCGTTGGTGGAGGTTGCTGAGTGAGCTGAGATTGCGCCACTGCACCATGGCCTGGGCAGCGAAGCAAGACTCTGTCTCAAAAAAAAAAAAAAAAGGGAAAGGGTGGATATTGGGAAAGAGGGAGAAATTTTAAAAATATGTGCAGAGATAAGAGACAAAAGTTGCGTTCTTTTGAGTCTTTGATCAGCCTTTCACTGAAACACACAATTTACAGGTTGCGGGGGTAGAGGAATAGTCACTTATGCCTTAGTCTGGCTCAGTGAATCTGCATTTTTACACCAGAGGAAGCAATCAGGCGAGCAGAGGGATGACTTAAGAGTTCCATCCTTTGTTCGGAACCTGTGAAGACCAGCTACCAATTTACATTGTCACGGCAAAATTCAACAGAACCGTTTTAGGGTAAACTTCTTGGGGCCCACAAAAAATTTCCTAGTGGGCAAGTTGTGAGGGAGGTATGTGGCTTTTTATATCTTTGTAGCTGTTTTATTAAAGAACAAAAGGCGAGGCAGGTTTGCCCAACACAGTTCCCAGCTTGACTTTTCCCTTTGGCTTAGTGACTTTGGGGTCCTCAGATTTATTTTCCTTTCACAGTTATGATGGTACATTTTATGTTATATTTATTTTAAACCCTCTCCCCCCTCCCCAAAAGCGGGGGAGAAAACAAAGAGACGTAGCAGAAGGGGAAGTCACAGAGAAGCATCTTGCAGCATCTTTTTTTTTTTTTTTTTTGAGATGGAATCTCGCTCTGTTGCCAGGCTGGAGTGCAGTGGCGCAATCTTGGCTCACTGCAACTTCCGCCTCCCGGGTTCAAGCGATTCCCCTGCCTCAGCCTCCAAGTAGCTGGGACTACAGACATGTGCCACCACGTCTGGCTAATTTTTTTGTAATTTCAGTAGAGACAGGGCTTCACCATGTTGGCCAGGGTGGTCTCGATCTCCTGACCTCGTGATCCACCAGCCTCGGTCTCCCAAAGGGCTAGGATTACAGGCATCTTGCTACATCTTGAAGCGTCTTCAGTGTGCTCTTGCTTGCTGGCTCTGATGATGGAGGTGTTCAAGCCATTGTGGAAGGAATGCAGTGGCCTCTAGGAGCTGAGAATGACACCAGCCAACATCCAGCAAGAAGACATGGGCTTCAGTCCTAGGCCCATGGACACAATTCTGTCAATATCCTGGATGAGCCTGGAAAGTGGACTTTCCCAAGTCTGCAGATAAGAGCCCACGGCAGCTGACATTTTGACTTTAGCCTTGTGAGGCCCTGAGACAGGGACCCAGTCGAGCTGCTGGTTCCCTGCCCGGCAGGACTGAAAGATAATGCATGGGACTTGTTTTATATTATAAGTTTGTGCTAATTTCTCACTGTAGCAATAGAAAACGAATACAAGGTCTTTAATGCATTAATGTTGAAAACACTTTTTATATATGTTGTAATTGTTTTTTAAGTGTGTCATGTGTTTTTAGACTCTTCCCTTAATTATATTGAATCCTCCTAATTTCACTATCAGAGGGTAAACTCCAGTTCCATTCTTGGGGGAGTCCTTTGCAGTCACCCCAGGTACTCAATATTCACATGCATCAGAATCACCCCGAATGCTTGTTAAAACACAGATTCCTGGGTGCTGCCCGCAGAGGTGCTGATGCAGTAGGTTTAGAAGGGCCCAAATATTTGCATTTCTAAAATGTTTCCAGGTGATGCTGAAGCTTCTGGCGGTAAAGACAATCCTTTGAGAACGTATTTCCTCCCCAGCACTGGACCCTTCAGCCCCAGAGCGCTGCCCCGCCCTGGGTGGAAGGAAGCTGAGCTCCACCCCAGAGGGGCGGGGCCCTTTAAGCTCCGCCCTACGCAGTTGGCCCGGTTATCATTGGCTGGGAGTGCAGGGATCCCCTGCGTCACAGTGCCGTGCGCTCCCCGGCCAGAACGCCTGGGGCGGGGGTCTCCGCGCCTGCGCAGTGGAGCTGGGCGCTCTTGGGGCTTGAGTTTCTAAGGGTCGGGTCCCGCGTGCTGGCTACCGGATGGCGGAACCCAAGGCGGAGTCGGAGCCCTTGCTGGGCCGGGCCCGCGGCGGTGGCAGCGACTGCCCGGCGGGGCTGACCACTTGCCGCAGCATCCAAGTCGGCCCTGGTGAGCCGCCCGGACCCGGGGAGGGGGCTGGCCCGGAAGACCGGAGTCGCGCGTGGGGGTCCCGTTGTCGCAGCACCCAGCGTCCTGCCGGGCGCGCCCCCACAGGTTCGAGTCCGAGCGGGGCCTGGGCCGCGCCGGGCGCCAGGGGAGCCGGTGTTCTGAGGGCGAGTGGGCTGCGTCCTTTGGACCCGGACCGGGGTCAGGGCAGAGCTGGGATCGCTTCCGTGTCGCTTCCTGATCCCGACCAGCCGAGCGGAGAGGCCCTCGCCCAGCCGTGGGCAACCCCGAGGGAACCGGCCCCCTGCGGCAGGCAGGCACCTTCCGTGTGCCCAGGCGGGCCCAGACCCCATACTTCCCGAGGGTCGCCTGACTGGCTCAGAGAGGGCAGCACTTTGATTTTTCCCGTTTCTTCTGGGAAAAGCAGAGGCTCAGAGAGAGGCGTTACCCTACCCAAGGTCACACAGCCAGTAAGTGGCAGAGGTGGGATTCGAACCAGCTGGGAGCTAGGAGTCCTTTCTTTGTAGGGTGCCTTTCCCGGTCCCACCTCCTGTGGGGCTGGGGTGGGCCCCCTAAACGGTGACAGCTTCCACGCCTTGCTCTCTGCCAGCCCAGAGTCCCCTCCCCACTCCCTCCTGCCCTTCCTGTTTTTTGTCCTGGTCTGAAGATTGCTGAATCCCCCCGAGGGTGGGGTGCGTCCGCCCCTCGCTGACACCAGGGGAATTAGGTTCTGGATTAGAGGTGGAAGGACCTTAGCTTCACTTTATAGATGAGGAAACTGAGGCCCAGAGAGGCCCTGAGACCTGCCCAAGGTCACAGCCCTCTGTGCTGGTGCGGCTGCTGCTCGAATCACTCTGAGAATTCACACCTGGCCGCTTCCCTCTCTGGCCTGTCTTTCCTTCTTTCCTCCTGTATCTGGAAGGAACTGGGTTGGAATACTGGTGCCACCCACTGTCGGTGGCATATGCCCATCCATGGAGTAATGGGGGGCCAAGGAGGGGACCCTGACAAGAGATGAAAAACCAGAGACTGAGGTGGCCACCCTGCCTGCTCACCTCAGAAGCTTCCTCTGGGAAGTTCTTCAGGTGCTTCCTGGGACCAGTCAGAAGGGAGATCTGCAGGGAGCCGCTCTGGCAGGCCCCTTGATGAGACGCCCAGCATATGGCAGCGTTCAGGGAACACAGACTTTGTGTCTAGGATTCTGGGCGCCTTTCTGGGGCTACCCTGGCTGTGTGGCCTTGGCAGTTGCTTAACCTTTCTGTTTTTTTTTTTTTTTTTCGGAGACGGAGTATCACTTTGTCACCCAGGCTGGGGTGCAGTGGTGCGGTCTCGGCTCACTGCAGCCTCCACCTGCTGGGTTGAAGTGATTCTCCTGCTTTAGCCTCCCAAGTACCTGGGACTACAGGCGCCCGCCACCACGCCTGGCTGATTTTTGTATTTTTAGTAGAGATGGGGTTTCACCATGTTGGCCAGGCTGAGCTCACACTCCTGACCTCAGGTGATCTGCCTGCCTCGGCCTCCCAAAGTGGTGGGATTACAGGCGTGAGCCACCGTGCCTGGCCCTGCTCAACCTTTCTGAAGCTCAGTAAAAGGGAGATAATACTAGGGACTGCCTTGTGGGCATTCAGAGAGCATCCAGAGTTTGTCCTCAGCAGAGGGCCTGATGGACTGGGGTGGGGGCCAGTGGTCATCCTGGGTAAGCACCGTGATCATTGCAGGTCCTGGCCCTGGCAGGTGAGACCTGCTCTGCTGGGCAGTGTGGCTGACGAGAGGAGGCTCTCAGGGAGCGCTCTTTGTCCCTATGCTGTGGCCTCAACCAGGGCTTCTGAGAACGTGGACAGGACGCTCTGTGTTCCGAATCTCCTTGGCCAGGTTCCCCAGCAAGACTGGTAGACTATGGAGCCATGGAGACTCCCAAAGGCCCATTCAGTCTCAGTGCTGGGGCCTGTGCCAGACTTTGAAATGAAGGCCCTGTGCTCTGGTTCGCAAGTCCTGTGGTTGGTCTCTTGCCAACGGGTGGTGGGGGGCTGCTGCTGTGGGCGCCCCGAGGACCCCAGTGGACCCTGCTGTCGGGTCCTTTTGACTTAGCCCCACCTGACGGGGCCGGGGTCAAAGGTTGAGGACAGTTGTTTTCTGTTGTTTCTGGGTCAGAAAATCACACTTTTACTGATTATCAAAAAAGAGGACAAGGGATTACAATGCTCTAGAGGCTTTCAGAGTAACTGAGTGCTTATGAAGGGCTCACTTAGCAAAGTACTCTGGCTATGGTAAGTCATTCAGTCTGTACTTAGCTCCTCCTGGGTGGGGGTCCACGAGGACCTGGAGCACCGAGAGGTTAAGGCACTTGCCCAGGGTCACACAGGATGCTGGTCAGGACTCTACACAGGTTGTGCAGCCTGGAGCCTGGAGCAAGAGGGGAGCGGGAGCTCAGACCTGGATGTTGCGGGGCAGAGGCTTGGGTTAGGAAGCCGTGTCAAGGCCTGGTGTGCTGGATGCAGCGTCTCAGCCCCTGTTGTCCTCTGTGCCCTGCAGAACCCTCCAGCCGCCCGTAGGGTGATGGCGTGTGGACAGGTGATTGCCCTCCAGGGTAATGAGCTCAGGGCGGGGCGAGCTGCCCCAAGGGAGTTCCTGGACCCACACACTGGGGGATGGTGCTCCTGGCAGAAGCCGCAACCTGAGTAAAGGGTGGGAGGCTTTGGAGAGCATGGCCTTGGCAGAGCCCAACGTTCAAGGAATGAGTTGGCCCACGAAGTTGAAAGACAGGAGAGCGAGCGGGCCCGGGCCAAATCTGTGGGAACCCTGCAGTGCCAGGCAGGGTTGGGAGTGTGGGCCTGGATTGGAGTGGGGACCAGGGGACAGCTGTGATGTGCTTCTGAGTGTTTTTGGAGCCAAGATTCTCGGGGCTGTTGCCAGGGTGAAACGGAGATGGCCAGACCCGAATTTCATTAACCAGCACCCAAAGACACCAGGGACGGAAATGGACCACAAGTGCGGGATGGTCTTCCAGGGGTGGCCACCACTGTTGTGCCCGGGATGCGCTAGGCCTGTGGTGGATGTGAGCAACTTTTCGTTTTTTTTTTTTTTTTTTGAGACGGAGCGTCTCGCCGCTGTCGCCCCCAGGCTGGAGTGCAGTGGCCGGGATCTCAGCTCACTGCAAGCTCCGCCCCCGGGTTCACCACATTCTCTGGCCTCACGCCTCCCCGAGTAGCTGGGATACAGGTGCCCGACACCTCGCCCGGCTAGCTTTTTGTATTTTTTAGTAGAGACGTGGGGTTTGCACCCCTGTTAGCCAGGATGGTCTCGATCTCCTGACCTTCGTGATCCACCGTCTCGGGGGCCTCCCAAAGTGCTGGGATTACAGGCTTGAGCCACCGCGCCCGGCCAAATGTTAGCACTTTCCATGGTCCTGGGGCTGGAGTGAGCCCTGGAACTCGGCAGCTTGTCTCTTGTCTAAGAAACTTGTATCACTAGATCTCTCCTGGTAGAGATTCTATCTTCTCCCAGGGAATTTGGTAAGGTGACGCCTTTCAGAGCACCTGCCCCCCAGGCTCCCCTCGGGGCTGTTCATTTATTCATGGGATAAATCAGCTTTGAGTCCTGTGTGCTTGAGTTTTGGGCTCTGCAGATACAGCAGGGAACAAAACAGTGTGGCTTCTGTTCACGGCGATCCCAGGATGTGCTCAGGGGACATAAACAGTAGCCACTTTCAGCGCTTCCCTGGGGAGACATTCGGCTGTCCTCAGGGTGGGTCTTGTGGCTGTGCACGTGGGTACCAAAGCCGCAGGGAGGGAAGGCTCTTGCTTCTGGCAGTGCAGCAAGGCCGGGCAGAGCCAGTGGGGTTCCGGTCTCTTGCCTCTGTCTGGGACCCCCACATCTCTAATCCGTCCGGGGCCCAGCTGCCTCTACCTCATGCCCCCAAACAGGAGCCCGGAGGACAGGGGCAGCTGCCTCCCTAGGGATGGCCAACAGAGTGGGCGGGTCATGGCCTGGACCTCTGCCTGGGGACCAGCACCTCCCGAGGCCTCTGCTGCTGCCTTCCGTGTCACCACATTGTCTTGGTGCAGCTGTGGGCCCCAAGGGGCCAGGTGTAAAAGCCGAGTCTCAACTGAAAAGACAGCTGCTTCGCCCTCTCCCCGGGCTGGGAAATGTCAGCCTCTCCGGGTTCCTCAGTTGCTTCGGGTTGAGCGTTCCTTCTCCCTTGGCCTGCTGAGGAGCAGCTCTGCAGCGAGGCCACACAGGTGGCATGTGCCTGCGATGCGGGTGGGTGGCCCGGGCCTCCCGCAGTGGCTCAGTGACTGACCAGGTGTGCCCGCTGGCTGCTTCATGGCGGGCGAGAGGCTTGTGAGCAGGCCAGGATGCTGGGCCTTGGCTTCTGTGCCGCCTGACTTTTCCTGAAGGCCCCTCCTAGTCAGGAGCCACTACCGCCTTTGCCCAGGCCTGTCGGGAGGCTCCACCCTGCTTGTGCTGTTGGTAAAGGCGGGCGGCCACCCTTCACCACAGAAGGCACCGGCAGAGGCTGGAGGACCCGGGCGTTCCCAAAGCTCTGACCCTGGGAGTGATTTGGGTGGGCTTGCCTGGGCCCATGGGCCGGGACAGTGAGAGGACGGAACCTGGGTCGCTCTCATGAAGCCTCACGGCGGTGCCTTCGGGTTCTGGATGCCAGTTCTCCCTGTCGGTGTTGAATCTGAGGTCTAGTTTGATGGGGGTGGGTGGGACAGTGGGTGCAGTGTCCTGGCTCAGGAAGGCTGTGCAGGAGCCAGGGTCGGGCCAAGCAGAAGAGGGCTGACAGCAGCCCCGTGTACCGAGCGTGCTTGGGGAGTGTGGCAGGGGGCTCTGGCCCTCCTGCGTTGCACCTCCCAGTACTCTCTGGGGAGCCGAGTGGGTAGCTGTGAATAGCCCCACTTGGCAGAGGAGGAGCCAGCCACAGCCTTCCTGCTAGCATGTGGAGGAGCCGGGCTCTGAACCCCGAGTCTGGCGCCGGGGCCCTGCAGGACGCGCTGCTTCTCACGGGCTTGCTGGGTGTGTGTGCTGCAGGCGGAGCCGCCGTGCCCTGGGCCTGCCCTGTGCACGTGATGCCGAGGCACTTACCTGGTTTGGTCCCTGCCCCGGGCAGGCACTTGCAGCCCCACTGCCGGGTGGAGTCATCTCTTTACACATGGCCTTGGGAGGAACCGCAGCTGGCATCTTTCCTTGATCCCGGGTGTCCTGGAGGGTGAGGCCATGTCATCCTGCTCGGTCACCTGATGTCCCCCTCTGCCTGCAGGTGCCGCGGCCAGGTGGGACCTCTGCATTGATCAGGCTGTGGTCTTCATCGAAGATGCTATTCAGGTTGGTGGCACCTGCCTCCCTGTGGCCTGACCTGGGGGGTGGTCACCCTCCAACTGGCTCGCCCCTCCAGGGGAGACTGACTGGGGCCAAGACCTCTGTTGCTGGACTGTAGCTTAAGAGAACCGAGGGCGGAGCCTCTGGGCACGGCTCTCCGTCAGTCCCCGGAGAACTTGTTTTCTGCATCCTGGACGCATTTGCTGCTTTGATGCACTGTGTTCTGAGGCCTGTTGGGGACCACCCCATTCTAGGTCCTGGGTGGGTGGGGGGGTCTTGGAGGATGGCACGGCTGCACGGGGCATGGGAGGGTCAGCCTTGCACAGAGAAGAGACAGCCTCACAGGCAGACACAGGCATGGCCGTGCCCTCAGCAAGTGTTCCCTGAGCGTTTGCTCACACACACACCCGCCCTGGGTGTGTGGCCTGTGAGGTCTTGTGTGTTGGGCAAACCTCATGGTTTGTGATGGTGTGGGCCTGCTGGGTCAGGGCCGGCCATGTCCACACGCTGAAGCGTCCCCTGTGATCCACAGCCCGAGACTTGGGCCTGTCTCATGTGTGGTGTGGGGCCCGGGCCACGGCCCACCCTGCATGCACCCCTGTCATGCCTCATGTGACTTTTTGCTTCCAGTACCGCTCCATCAATCACCGGGTGGATGCCAGCTCGATGTGGCTTTACCGACGGTATTACTCGAACGTATGCCAACGGTGAGAACGCACCCATGTGGAACTCACGGTTCCTGCCGGCTTGCGTGGCGGGGGAGGCTGGCCCCTACCTGGGGATCACCTGGTCTCAGGGTCCAGGCAGGCTCCCTGTTACATAGATAGGGCGGTTACCGTCGTCCTCTCTGGAAAGGAGACGGCCTGTGATGGAAGGCTCCTTCGACAACAAGGGTTCCTTTCTGGAATGCTGGGGTTAGCCCTCGGCAATGGAGCTTTGAGCAGGTTCGTGATCTCCCCAGTCACGAGTGTCCATGCTCAGGCAGTGCCAGCTCCCGCGCTTCGGACCGGGGAAGCTCCTGATCAGCCTCTGGGCCCCGAGGGCTGCCGACTCCTGCGTTTTCATGTTTCTGTTCCCTTTTCAGGACTTTGAGCTTCACCATCTTCTTGATCCTGTTTTTGGCTTTTATCGAGACCCCATCCTCGCTCACCAGCACGGCGGACGTGCGCTATCGCGCTGCCCCCTGGGAGCCGCCCTGCGGCCTGACCGAGAGTGTCGAGGTGCTCTGCCTGCTGGTCTTTGCGGCCGACCTCTCTGTGAAGGTGAGGCGAGTGCCAGGCCCTCTACGTGCTGCCCTGGCCTCCCAGCGCCTGGCCGCTGCTGTCCTGGTTTATTGCTGATTCTCTGGAGCGAGCTGCCTTTTCCCCAGACTTTGTACTTTGACCCTGTGAGGAAGGCACACTTTCTTGGACAAGCAAGCGCCTGAGGCAGAGGCTGTGTCAGCTGCCCTCCATCTCCACCATGCAAACCCGGTGTGCCGTCAGCTCTCCTCCCTCCCCACCATGCAAACCCGGTGTGCCGTCAGCTCTCCTCCCTCCCCACCATGCACCTGGTGGTGCCGTCAGCTTTCCTCCCTCTCCACCATGCAAACTGAGGCCAGTGTGCCGTCGTGGGTGGCGCAGGCTGGCAGGGCCTCTGAGAACGGTCCAGGGTCTGTAGTGCTGCTGTGAGGAGAGGTCCCAAGTGAATAAGTGAGGCCCAGGCGGTCCCTCCTCGAGGCTCACCGTGCCACCCCAAAGAGAAGAGGAGAGGAGGCGGGCGTGGGGCAGAAAGGGGTTTCTTGTGCACACAGCAGCTGCTGCACGTTTGACTCTGGATTCTGCCTGTGACGCACGTCCTCCTAGAAGCTGGAGGTGGGGCTTTGGTGCTCACCTAAGCTTCTGAGCTTCGTCAGAGCCTTGGTGACTTTCCAGGGAGGTGCAGGCTACGTGTTCTATTTTTGTCAAACAGTGATTCCAATGCCGCGGTCTCAGGAGCCCCCACATCCCTGCCCATGGTGTTAGATCAGGCCCTGGCTGCAGCCTTCCTCAGCGCCAGCCCTGCCATTCCTTGGGCTTGGGCTCACGTGGCCTCCCGGTCGTGTGGGGCCTCTGCCCAGCGCTGCCCTGTAGTCCCTTGTGGGCAGGGCGGGCTGTGTGCTGACCAAGGGTTGTGGCTGGATGCCGGGGTGTGTGATTGTAGGCCCCGGGCAGTTTCTCATTTCTTCCTTTTTAGCTCCTCGTGTGGTTAGCAGGTCTGGGGGTTTTTCAACTGGAACTGAAACTGGCAAGAGGTTGTTAATAGTGGTTTTTGAATGGTTGGTGTGTTTGAGATGTGTCAGAAGGTGAGAGAGGGTACATTAGCAAGCTGTGACCTCTGGCGGCTGTCTTTTATTTTATTTTATTTTATTTATTTATTTATTTATTTATTTATTTATTTATTTTTTGAGACAGAGTCTCGCTCTGTTTTTTGAGACAGCACTCGCTCAGGCTGGAGTGCAGTGGCGTGATCTTGGCTCACTTCAACCTTCCCCCTCCTGGGTTCAGGCGATTCTCCTGCCTCAGCCTCCCCAGCCGTTGGGACTACAGGCGCGTGTCACCACGCCTGGCTTATTTTTTGTATTTTTAGTAGAGACGGGGTTTCACCGTGTTAGCCAGGATGGTCTCGATCTCCTGACCTCATGATCTGCCTGCCTCGGCCTCCCAAAGTGCTGGGATTACAGGCGTGAGCCACTGCGCCCGGCCGTCTTTTATTTATTGATTTTTGAGACAGAGTCTCGGTCTGTCGCCCAGGCTAGGGTGCTGTGGCATGATCTCAGCTCACTGCAACCTTTGCCTCCTGGATTCAAGTGTTTCTCCTGCCTCAGCCTCCCAAGTAGCTGGGATTACAGGTGCCTGCCACCATGCCTGGCTGATTTTTCTATTTTTGGTGGAGGCAGGGTTTCACCATGTTGTCCAGGCTGGTCTCAAACTCCTGACCTTGAGTGATCTGCCTGCCTTGGCGTCCCAAAGTGCTGGGATTACAGGCGTGAGCCACCGCCCTCTGGGGACTTTCTCGATGGTGGGAAATGGCAGTTAGGTAAGGGAAGAACAGACCAGACCTCACTTCCCAAACTGCCTTGCTGTAGCGGCGGAGACCTGCCCACTGAGCCGGTACTCTTCTAGCCTTTTCCAGAATGCATTCCGTGCCTTCTCAGCCTGCACAAGGTGGTTGGTTGCATAGGCAGAACAGGCAGGAGCCTCCTGTTACTGATGAGGACCAGGTTAGAGAGCTTCGGTGCTGCCTGAGGCTGCACAGTGAGTCCCTAGCAGGCTTGGGTGGGAGCTCGGGCCTCCTGAGCGCTGCTCAGCATCCCGTGGGGACCACACTGTTGTGGGGGCACACCCTGCTGTGGTCGTCTGGTCCCTGCCCTGCGCACCGTCATTCTCTGGCTGCAGGGCCAGTGTGTGGGGCTGCTTGCTGCTCACCCGCCCGTCTCTCTTGCAGGGTTACCTGTTTGGGTGGGCCCATTTCCAGAAGAACCTTTGGTTGCTGGGCTACCTCGTGGTGCTGGTGGTGTCTCTGGTGGACTGGACCGTGTCCCTGAGTCTCGTGTGTCATGAGGTAGGTGGCGAGGCGGCCCTGAGACAGGCGGAGAGCTCTGGGGGTGGTGTGGGTGCAAGGCCCACAGGGATGTTGGGATGGAGCCCTGAGCCCGCCAGCCATCCTGCCCACCCGCCCAGCACTGCCCACCTCCTGTGGCACTTCTTCACTTGTTGGCTGGGGAGCCTTGTTCCCGTCTTGCAGATGAAGCCCCGGAGGGCTGGATAGGCGCAGGGTTCCTCCCGGCTCACGCTGTTGGTGAGGGCAGACCTGGGAGTGAGATCCAGGACTCTGGCCTCCCAGCTCTCCACTTTCTAGCTGAGGGCCTCGTCCGCCCAGCGCCCGACGAGAGCGCCACACCAGGGCCTCACCATGTCCCATAGTCACAAGCCCCAAGCTCTGTGAGGCCTGACAGTGAGAAAGCCCCTCACCCGGCCACGCTCAGCTCTTTCCACCGCAGCGTCTCGGTTTCCCCTCAGAGCACCCGGAAGCCCCCCCCGGGCTTTGGGAGAACAGAGCGGGAAGAGGTGGGTGCGGAGTCAGCAGGATCCACTGGGTCTTGGTCGGGAAGCAGAGCCCCGCAGGTGCCCTGTGGAGAGAAGGAACAGAGGGCCTTAAATAGGCGCCGAGAAACCAACAGTGAAAGCAGCCCAGTGGAACCAGAACCGCCGGAGCAGCCCCACCCTGGGCAGGGCACACGGGGGAGAGATGGGGGTTGTTAGCACCTGGAGGCCCAGGGGAGGGGCCCATAGAGCTGGGACCTTGCCCTCTGCCCTCTGGGAGGGGGCGCTACCCGGCGGGCGCTGGTGCCTCCCAGAAGCTCAATGAGGTTGGTCCCAGCAGTGCCGATGGGGAGGCTGGGAAGCTCTGGGTGCAGCCTAGTGAGTGCGTCTCCTGTCCGCCTGCCCCAGGGCCCTGCTGGCAGGACCTGGTGGGGAGTAGCCGCTGCAGAGAGCTGGAATGGGCGGCGTCGCGGCCACAGCCCGGCAGAGCGGAAGGGTGACTGGAGGGCAGTCCCGCTGTGCTGCTGTGGGGCCTCCGTGGCCGCCTCCTTCCTGTCTCCCTGACCCGGCAGCGTCCCGAAGCCTCCTCCCTGCACAGGAAGAGCCTCTCCCGTGACTGCCCCAGCAAGGGGAGTGGGGACGGCCCTCCCACTGCCATTTCTGAGTTACGGTCGTGGCAGCTGTATCATGTTTTGTAACTTACAGGCTAAATTGTAAGCCACACCAAGAATCCTTATACGAAATTAGAATGGGGAAGGAGACAGGAAAAAGGGACACAGGTCTATGTTACAAGCAAGGAAGAAAACAAATAAAGGCCTGTTTTTGTACCTGGCCGTGGGCCCTTCCTGGATCTCTTCTGCCACCTGCTCTGTGCTCTCTTCACCTCCACCAGCTCCCCAGCTGGCCCTGGTTTTTCACCTGGCACAGGGACTGGACCTTCCTCCCTGAGGGGCCCGAGTCCTTGGTGGTCCTGCCTTTGGAAAGCTGGAGTTCTTTGCTAACTTTTCCTATGGGACATAGGAGTAAGAGGTGCCCCAGAGGACCCCACCCAGCCCTCCCTGCTGTTCTCAGTGGTAGCGGCCAGCCTGCCCGCTCAGCCCGCTGCACAGCAGCCCTCTTCTCATGAACAAGCTATGGTCCAGACCACTGGCACCAGCGTGTATCCTGGTGGAAGCATCCCCACCTTGGGAGGGGATATTTCCAGACCGGGGACCCAGAATGGGCGAGGTGGGAGGTGGAAAGCTGGCCATCCCCCTGTGCCTCTTCACCATGTTCACTCCCATTGCCCTTGCCTGGGTCCCATTGGGTCCTAGCTGGGGAGAGACAGCCCCGCCCAGTTGCCTCCAGTTCAGAGCCTGTGCTGTGCCCTGTGACCCTAAGCCGACAGCGTTGCTGAGTCTTCCTAAGGCTCTGGGACCCTTCCCACAGCCAGCTACTGTGGGGCCGTGCCAGGGCTGCCCCAGCTCTTCCACTGGAAGCGGTATTTGCAGGGCTGTGAGTGGGACATAGTGCCCCACTGAGTTCATTCCCCAAGTTCTGGGATGGTGCTGGCAGAGAGACGTTGGGGGCAGGGCAGGCAGATTCATAACCTGCACGCCTGTCTGTCCCGGGAGGACAGATGAGTGCCGGTTACGGGCAAGGGCCCCTTTGTTGCCGGGGGCTGTCTTGGGCCGGTGCCGGGCTCTGCCCCTGGCTGAGCGGCTGTGCTATTGGCACCAGGCATAGCCTCCATGTCTGTCGTGGTGGCCGATTTGTGTGTGGTGGAGGGAGTTAGGAGCAGGGTGGCTGAGGGAAGAGGCCCAGCTGCATCCACAGGACGCCTCGTCCTGGCCAGAGAGGCTCCTCTCCGCGGTGCCCATGGTGGGCGTTCATGTGGGGCCTCGGCTCCTCACGCCACGTGCCGTGCAGAGCAGCTTGTTCAGAGCAGCTTGTTCAGAGCAGCCAGTCCACATGCTTCCTCCCAGACCTCGTTCCCAGTCTTCCACCCTTCTCTTTCCACGCCCCTGTCCTCCACCTGGGAATGTCCCCTTTCCAGTCCACGCAGGGGACCGCCCACTGCAGAGCTTTGCCTTCTGCCGCGTCCATGCGGCGCTTTCTTGATGGAGGCTGAAATGCGCGTGTGTACGTTTCTGGCTGGACCGGCCGTCACTCAGCACGTCTGCAAACCAGGCCTGAGGTTTTCCTCTGTGGCCAGCTGTCCCGTCATACAGAACTCGCACAGGCACTGGGCGGCTTGCAGGGAGGACCGGGTGCCGCCAGCCTTGTGGCCGGGGGAGCTGGATAACCCCTGGGCTGCCGGTCACTGTTGGGTTTTGCTCATTCACTTTGTCTTTGCCAGGGCTGTTTGGACGTGGTTTGTCTTCAAAGCCTTGGGTCTGAGGGTCCCAGGGGCTTGACTGGCATTGTGGTTGGTTGTCCTTGAAGGCTGGTCACCTGGCTGTACCTTCCCATCCTCATAGAGGCCTCACGGCCCCAGCTGTCAAGGGAAGGCCCTCAGGGTTGGGCTCTTGCGTCTGGGGAAGCTGTGCTGTGGTCTGTGTCTGACTACAGGTAAGGGTGCAAGTTCCTGGGCAGGGGAGGGGAGCCAGCAGCACCTTCAGTGTCTTCCTGGCCTGTAGAGGGACTGAGAGAAGCCTCTGTTATCAGGCCCTAAGACCAGAGTTTCCAACCAGTGGGCAGTGAGTGGGTTCCGGGTGAGCTGGGTGCACAGGGCAGGAGCCAGAGCCCTGAGCCGTTCTCTGTTCACTGCTGTTCCCTTGGCCTTCTCAGTCTTGCGCCAGGCCTTGGGGTCCCTTTTGAGGGTGATGATTCACTTGGAGTGAGTGCTGGGGATCAGTCACTTGCAGACGTTGCGGAGGGCCTGCTGTGCTGCTGCTGGGTGGACCGTGGTGAACAGAACGGGCAGGTCTCTTGTCCTCTGAGACCCCCTTCTGGAGCGACAGAGAGACTGCCAGCGCACGGAAGTGCCAGACGCAGAGAGTGATTTCCAAGGGTGGTGGGTGCCGTGCCGGAGAGGAGCCTGGCAGCCCTGGCAGAGGTGGTGTTCTGCAGGTTGGCAGGGGGCTGAGCCGGCCAGCTGGGCAGAGACTGGCGGCTGGAGGACCGTGGCCTCTGCAGCCTGGGAAGGGGTTGGACTGACTGGCCGGGCTTGCTCTGTGGACCCTGGAGGCCATGGGCAGAGCCGTGGGCAGCTGTCAGAGCGTTTGGTTTTGTGCAAGGAGCTGACAGTCGTGCGTTTCTAAAACAAGGCACTGATGAGGAGGCGAGACTGCAGCTGAGAGCGTGGATTTGAGATTGACAGGCGCCAAAGTGTAAACGGGATACTCATGGGACTGAACCCAGGTGTGAGGCAGAGAGAGGAGGTGGGGGCAGGGTGCCCAGCACAGGCGGATCGGGCAGTGCGGGGGGCCCACAGGGCAGCCCGGAGCACCGAGGTAGCTGTGTCTGGTGCCGAGGGCGCCAGGCATTATGGGAAGGTTATCATGGGGACCCCCAGGTGGGTCCCAGTGGCCAGGAGGGGAGGATGGGCTGGGACAGGAGCAGGGGAGGTGGGTGAATAGAGGGGAGGGTAGGGAAACGTGGCATGATGGACGCTGTGAGAAACTGGTGTGTGGTGGTTGGAGCAGGAGGTGGTGATTGAACCAACACTGAGAAGGCTGGGGTGGGTTGACAGGACTGTGGGTGGGCACTTCTGTCCTCCCAGGAGGAAGGCAGTGAAGATGGGAATACCTGTGAGAGTGTGTGTGTGTGGCTGTGAGTGTGTGTGAGTCTGTTTTGCGTGGCCATAAAGCAAGACCTGAGGCTGGGTATTAATAGAGAAGGGGTTTATTTGGCTCCCGGCTCTGTAGGCTGCATGGAAGCATGGTGCTGGCGTCTGCTTCTGGTGAGGCCTCAGGCAGTGTCCACTCGTGGCAGAAGGAGACGGGGAGCGGGTGTGTCACATGGCGAGAGAAGCCTGCAGACTCCTTTTAACAACCAGATCTCTCGCGAACCCTCACCTGAAGTCATTACCGCAGGGAGGGTGCCAGGCTGTTCACGAGAGATCCACCCCATGACCTAGACCCCTCCCGCTAGATCCCGCCTCCAACACGGGAAGTCAGATTCAACATGAGATTTGGAGGGGACGCACGTTCACACCGTGTGAGGGTTGGGTGTGGGAGCAGTGAGGCTGGAGGGCGCTGTGTGAGTGTGGGGGTGTGGAGGTGGGGCTCCTGGGGGCAGGGTCTGTGTCTGGGAGGGGAAGGCTTGGAGCAGGGGTCACATTGACGCCGTGTGAGTGATGAGTGTGGGAGCAGTGAGGCTGGAGGGCGCTGTGAATGTGGGCGGGGTGGTGGAAGTGGGACTCCTGGGAGCAGGGTCTGTGTCTGGGAGGGGAAGGCTTGGAGGCAGGGGCACGAGGGGAGGCGGGTTGAGGGGTGAGGGGTGAGGAGGCGGGGATGGTACCCTGAGAGGCCAGGTGTGCTGGGCAAGGCAGGAGGGTCCCAAGGCAGGCATGGGGCCGCCACCCTTCCAACTGTGTCCTGGGTGGGCAGAGGGGAGGATGACCTTGGACAGGGATGGGGACAGGTGTTAGGACTGGGGAGCCTGTGTGTGCAGCGCCCAGGAGTTGGGAGATGGGCAAGGGGGAGGCCTGCGACGGGGAAGGACTGCGGATCATGCGGCCCGGAGCAGGTCTCAAGGCCAGCTCTGGAGCCAGGCCCTCCACTCCGAGCTCAGTGGCTGTGGAGTGGCCCCCAGGGCACCGGGGTCTCTGACCTGTGTGCCCACCTGGGGTGGTCGGCAGGGGTGGAACTAAGCACTGCACGTGGTGCTCAGCTGCCCGGATCTCTTCCAGCCTCTGCGCGTCCGCCGGCTCCTCCGCCCCTTCTTCCTGCTACAGAACTCCTCTATGATGAAGAAGACCTTGAAGTGCATCCACTGGTCGCTGCCGGAAATGGCCAGGTGGGCTCTTCGTGCCCCGGGCTCGTAGGGCTGGGAAGCGGCTCTCTCTGCCCCGGGCCATGTGGTTCAGGTGGGGCCCATTGGAGTCTCACCTTGGACTGCCTGCTCCGCATCCCTGGCTGGCTGGTGACGGTGTGGGGAGGACGCTGGGGGGGCGTTTGGGGTCTCAGTGGTTCCAACAGTTACCCAGAGGCCTCCCAGCAGCCTTCGACCTAGGCCCGGGGCTGCAGACACTGTGGCCCCAGCTCAAAGGCTGTGAGTCCCCTGGGCACTCTCTCCGATGGGTCTCCTCTTGTCCCCTCTGTCCCCACTGGGGCTGCGCCTTGCCTCTCCCCTCTGCTGTCCCCTCCCACTCATGGTGTCTGCACGTTGCCAGCCTAGACTTCATAAAGCTGAGCTGCTCCTGACGGCACCCCTGCTTGGAAGCCCTCGTGGCTCTTGTTGCCACTAGAAGCGTGGGGCGCTCTCCCTGTGCCCCAGCCCAGCCTCCATCCACCTCAGCTCACCCCGGTCCCGATCCCCTGTCACCCTCTGCTCTTGCCAGTGGCAACGCTGCGTGAGTCCCTAGTGGCTCATGTGCTGACCCCTCACCATCCAGCTCAGGTGGGTGGAAGTGGCCCCCTCTGAGAGCCCTGGGCCCTTGGATCCTGTCTCAGCTGGGCCCCCTGGGTTTCATTGGTCACTGTCAAAGAAGGGACCCTGCCAGGGCAGGACCAGGCCTTTCCTCTGGGCCCCATGAGCTGAGCATGAGGCAAGGCCCTCGGGGAGAGGGGGACCCAGCTGCTGCAGACTCCTGGGCGCTCCTGTCACTGAGCCCCGCAGGCGGGTCAGGTGTCCCTGGGTCCTGCCTGCCCACCCGCCTGGCCCAGGCTGAGTGCTACGCTCTCCCCCAGCGTCGGGCTGCTGCTGGCCATCCACCTGTGCCTGTTCACCATGTTCGGGATGCTGCTGTTCGCCGGCGGGAAGGTAGGGCACCCTGCCTTCTCAGCGGTTCCAACGGGGTCTGGGGATGGGGCTGCCCTGTGCTGTGACTAACGGAGGGGGCTGGGCCGGTGTCTGCTGCCCTGGCTTAACCCATGTGCAAACTCTGTCCAGGAGTTAGCAGTGGCCCATCAGGGGTCCAGGGGCCTGCCTTCGGGTGGCCACAGTGCTCCACCACCCCACTGCCCGGATACCTGGGGTCTCCTGGGCTCAGGGCCACTTGTTCTCTGTCCTGGCTGCCCCTCTCCAACCCTCCCCTGCTCCCTCCCATCCTGACACAGTTCCCCTACCCTCCTTCCCACTTCCCTCCCTCCCTGCCTATCTATCCCCCTGTCCTCCTCCCCTCCTACCTTCCTCCCTGTCTCTGTCTCCCCACCCCTCCCCGGCCCTCCCCGCCAGGCCCTTCACTGAGGGTGGTTCCTCTGGTTTCTCCTCCAGTCCCGTTCATCCTTCCTGACAACCAGGCTTGCCCTGCACCCTCTCTGACTGCAGCCCCCCAGGCTGCGCTGGCCTATTGGGAGGGCCCTCACCTCCCACGCCCTCTCCTGCCACTAGTCTCTCCCACCATATCCTCCCCTGTGGCTGCCCGGGGCGCGGCTGCTCGTTGCCGTGTGGAGGCATCTGCCTGTCTCCCTACCCCGCTGCAGTGTTACGAGTTTATTCTCCCATCCTGGCCGAGGGCACCATCCTCCTTGGGGCTGGGGCCACGCTGCATCGCTGCGGCTTTGTCGTGGGAGTGGACAGTGCTCAGCCTGTGCTGCTGTTCATTTGTGGCCGCGTTGGGGTTTGCTGTGTGTTGTCCAGAAGGGGAAGGCTGAAGCCCGGGTTCTCACCCAGGGCGGAAGCAGTGAGTGAGCCCTGTGTGTGCGTGGTGTCTGTATGTCTGTGCGTGTGCGTGGTGTCTGTATGTCTGTGTGCGAGTCTGTTGTCTGTGTGCGTGTGTGGTGTCTGTGTGTGCGTGGCTTGTCTGTATGTCTGTGTGTGTGTGTGTGTGGTGTCTTATGTGGTGTGTGGTGTGGTGTCTGTGCATGCGTGGTGTCTGTATGTCTGTTTGCTGTGTAGTGTCTGCATGTGTGCATGGTGTCTGTGTGCGTGCGTGGTGTTTGTGTGCGTGCGTGTCTGTACGTCTGTGTGCGTGCGCGGTGTCTGTACGTCTGTGCATGCATGGTGTCTGTACGCCTGTGCGCGTGCGTGGTGTCTCTACGCCTGTGCGCGTGCGTGGTGTCTGTGTGCATGTGCGCATGCGTGGTGTCTGTGTGCATGCGTGGTGTCTGTGTGTCTGTGTGTGTGTGTTCGTGCATGCGTGTCTCTGTGTGTATGTGTTTGTGTGCCTGTCAGGAGGGAGAGAGGATAGGGACTCTGGTGTGGATGCCCCCTTGCCAATGGCTGTGATTCGGGGGCAGCTGGGCTGTGGAGATGGAACCGGCTGACGGAATCTCAGGCCCTCCTCTGTGTGACTGTCCAGTGACTGCTGCAGTGGCGCTGTTTCCCAGAGCCCATACAAGGTGGATGTCATCATTGTGGGTGCTGGACGTGGCAACAGCCTCAGCCTTGAGGCTGGGGTGTGATCCTCCGCCTGGGAAAGCCAAGTGTCCCATCCTGAGGCACCGGGAAGGGCCTGCTCCTCCTCTAGGCGTGGGGTTCTGCCCCATGGAGCGGCCCTTGGGGAGCAAGGTGTGCCTTGTGTGAGGGGTCAGAGCGCTTGTCGTGGTCTTGGCAGGAGTCTGGATCCCTGTCCGAGGCAGGACTTGAGAGGAACATGGGATGGTGGCCGGCCTGTCCCTGCCTTCCTTCCCCGGCCATCGTGCCCTGCCAGCCTGGCCTGGGGCAGTAGCCAGGCTGTGCTTCCGGATGGCCTTGCTGGCATCGCCGGCTCCTGCTGGCGGGGTGCAGCGGCTGCCTTGCTTTAGCTACCCTTGTGAGCACGGTCCAGAGCCAGGCTGCTTGTCCTCTGCTGGCTTTGCTCGTTGTGAAGCTCCAACCTGGACTGATTTCCAAGAACCAGGGTTGGCGCTGGGGTGTGTGGTCTCCCAGCAGCCGTGACGGTGCTGTCCCATTTTACAGACGTTTCTCAGGTCGGGGCTGTGGGCTGGCTCGGGTCCATCGTTGCTGGTTGTGGCAGGTTGGGCGGGAGCCCAGGGCTCCTCTGTGTCCCTCGCAGAGCTGTGGCTTGGGCTGGGCTGTAGGTACGGGAGGTCACACCTAGGGTCTGCCCGAGCAGGGGTTGAACTGCAGAGGAGGAGCGTGAGGCCTGCTGGGAGGCGCAGTGTGGGGTGGGAGAAGGGCCTGGGCAGGGGAGTTCTCTTGGCTCTGTGGACCTCAGCATCTGTTAGGTGGTGTGGGTGCCAGAACCTTCCTCAGCTGACTCGAAGCCTGGCCCTGAACCTTGCTCAGTGGGCGCTCGGTGGGTTGTTTTACGTTCGGGAATGTGGTGGTTTGACTGGGTGGGAGTGGGAGTGGGGAGGCCCAGGAGGCCTGAGCCCAGCGCTCCAGTCCTGCTGTCCCCGGTGACCGCTGGAGGCCAGCCTGCCCTCCAGGCTTCAAAGGCCTCGCTCTGCTCCTCCACTCTGGCTTGGGCTGAGGCCCAGGAGGGGCCCGCCTTGCTCTTCCCAGCAGGGGAGCCTGTCCCTACCCATGGCTCTGTGCCTGACAGTGCTCCCTGCCTTCTAACTTCCTCTCAGTGGCCCCTGTGCCCCCTCCCCTTAGCAGACTGTGGTGTCTTCACCATCAGTTAGTTCACGTGTCCTTGGGAGCCCCTGACTGGGCAGATGAGGGGACAGGGCCATTTTATAGGTGAGACCTTGCAGGCCTCGGTGCTATTGATGTGGCTCTGAGGCCGGAAGGGCGGCCTATGTGAGAGAGAGTGGCTGTCACAGGCACCTCCGTGCCAGGGCCTGCTTGCGAGGTCTCCCCTTCGCCAGCAGCTGGGCTCGTGGCTTTGAAACGATCCCTAAGTTTGTGTGCTTTGTGTGCCAAGTCCCGCTGTGCCACCGGCCCATCCAGTTCACACAACCAGTCTGGTTTGCAGGAACCACCCATCTTCCAGCTGGGCATCTTTCAGCTGGGGGTCTGGAGGCTTGATCGGCAGAGGGTGCCCACGAGCCTGGCCCCAGTGAGAGCCCCGGGCCCAGAGTCTTGAGTGGAGTTGCTTTCTGAGCAGAAACCCTGCACGTGCCAGCTGTGTGTTGTGGCTGGGACCCCTCTCAGGAGGGAGAGAGGATAGGGACTCTGGTGTGGATGCCCCCTTGCCAATGGCTGTGATTCACCACAGCCACGAGCACAGTGCCCCTGGGTCCCATGGGTGGCCATGGGCCCTGACACACAGCCTCTAGAGTAGGCTTCATGAAGGGTCCAACCTATCCCACCGTGGCAGCCTGGGCCCCTCCTGCCCCTCCTGCCCCTCCTGCCCCTCCTGCCCCTGCCCGCCCCTGCCCTGTAGCCTCACTGCCCGCACAGTGCATGGCAGAATCAGCTGCGAGCAGGCGAGGTGGCCTGAGGGAGGTCACTAGGCTGGCCAAGGGCTTTTTGCTGTGGTTCTGAGCCGTCCTGCTTCCAGGCACCATGTCCGTGCGGGTGAGCGGTCTCCCTGGGTGCCCACTCTTACGCCCAGAGATCCTGAGTTCGGTGCTGTCTGGCCATGAGCTCAGCCTGCTGGGAGGCCACAGGGAGATGCAGGCTGGGCAGTGGGTGGATGGTTCCAGCTGGTTGGGTCTGGGGCCTGGGGGTCAGCCTGTGGGGTGGGGACCCAGTGGCGCCCTGGAGCTGCCGCTTCTGCTCTCAGCAGGATGATGGGCAGGACAGGGAGAGGCTGACCTACTTCCAGAACCTGCCTGAGTCTCTGACTTCCCTCCTGGTGCTGCTGACCACCGCCAACAACCCCGATGGTGCGTGCAGGGCCAGGGAGGGACCCTGGGGGTCGGTGAGCCCAGCATGGGGGGCCAGTTTGGGTCGCTGAGCCTTAGCACCCAGCGGGAGTGTCCAAGCACTTTTTATCGGCAAGTGGAGAAGAAAGGGTGACATTTTCCTTTCTCCCGTTCTTTTCCTTTCTCTTCTTCCTTGTCTTGATTTTCTTCTCCCTCTCCCTTCTCCCTTCTCTTTCCTTCTTTCCTTTGCTGTCTCATGCCTTTGCTTTCTTACTCCCTCCTCCCTTTTCTCTTCGTCTCCTCTTCCTCCTCGTCGTCTCACTCCTCTGAGAAGCTGAAAGTGGCTGGTGTTCTTCAGAGGGTGATGATGGCAGTGGTCAGAGGGTCCCCTGGTGCCCTCCTACTGGAGGTCAGTGGTCAGAGGGGTCTCCCGGTGCCGTCCTGCTGGAGCTCTGCACACCCACACTCCTGTTGCTGCTGAGGTTCAGCTGTGGGAGCCACTGGGCAGCAGCGCGTGAGGGCCAAGGGTCTTACCAGCCATGATGCTCACCCTGTGTGATGCTGGTGGGGCCTCCACTGCTCAGGTGCAGGTGTGGCCAGGATGAAGGCCACGGTCCTGGGCTTGGCTGTGGCCCAGCCACCCTGGCTGGTACCTTTCATCTTGCGGACCCTGAGTGCTGTCCCTTGTGTCCTCTGAGTCCTAGCAAGTGACCGCAGGGGGAGCAGGACTGTCTGTGGGGAGGGCTGCAGGGAGGCTGTGAGCTCTTCACGCAGACGGACATCCTTGATAGGTAGGGAGTTCCCCGTCCTGGAGGGTGTGCGAGCAGAGGCGAGAGATCGAATTCGGACAGGAAGGCCTCTCAGTCCTCCCAGGAGACCTCTTTTCTTTTCTTTTCTCTTTTCCTTTTTTCCTTTTCCTTTTCCTTTCCTTTCTTTCAGACGGAGCCACGCTCTGTCACCCAGACTGGAGTGCAGTGGCGCGATCTCGGCTCACTGCAACCTCCACCTCCTGGGTTCAAGCGTTTCTCCTGCCTCAGCCTTCTGAGTAGCAGGGATTACAGGCATGAGCCACCACGCCTGGCTACTTTTTGCATTTTTTAGTAGAGATGGAGTTTCACTATGTTGGCCAGGCTAGTCTTGAATTCCTGACCTCAAGTGATCCACCCGCTTCAGCTTCCCAAAGTGCTGGGATTACAGGTGTGAGCCAACACTCTCGGCAATGGAGACCTCCTTTCTACAGTGGAGACCTCCTTTCTACAATGGAGACCTCCTTTCTACAGTGAAGACCTCCTTTCTACAGTGGAGACCTCCTTTCTACAGTGGAGATCTCCTTTCTACAGTGGAGATCTCCTTTCTACAGTGGAGACCTCCTTTCTACAATGGAGACCTCCTTTCTACAGTGGAGACCTCCTTTCTACAGTGGAGATCTCCTTTCTACAATGGAGACCTCCTTTCTATTGCAGAAGCAAATAGTGTAGGGTCAGGATGGGAGTGGGATCAGGAGCTGAGGTTGTCAGTCTGCGTTATTTCTTTTTTCTTTCAGTGATGATTCCTGCATATTCCAAGAACCGGGCCTACGCCATCTTCTTCATAGTCTTCACCGTGATAGGTGAGTGCAGGTAATGTGGCCAGCATTCTGTGACAGGATCCCGAGAGCTCAGGGACCGGCATACTCTGCTCCCTCCATGACCTGAAACTTCACATCCGTGTGTTTCACTCCAGAGATCACCCCAGGGATCCCCCGCCAACAGCTTCACCCCAGGGATTCCCCACCCCACGGCTTCACCTTGGGGAGCCCCCACCCCACGGCTTCACCCCAGGGATCCCCCACCAACAGCTTCACCCCAGGGATTCCCCACCCCACGACTTCACCCTAGGGAGCCCCTACCCCACGCTTTCTGTTCTGTCATCACCGTCGACCTCGTCGTCCTCCCACCCGTGACTGCGCTGGCCAGGCCACATTTCCATTTGATAGGGGCGCCCCCGGCACTGTGCTGTCCTGTGCTGGCCGCCCTGGCATTGGTTTTGCTGCTGTGCTGGTGGCCCCCTGACTGTGGCTGTCTCCTCTTGAAGGAAGCCTGTTTCTGATGAACCTGCTGACGGCCATCATCTACAGCCAGTTCCGGGGCTACCTGATGGTGAGCGAGCTCCCCCATCCTGGCTCTGCCTGGAGCTGCCGGGAGGCCAAGCGGGGTGTGGCTTGAGCTGAGCAGCTGGGTGACCCTTGCTGGCCAGGCTCCTGGTGGGACGGGAGGGCAGGGTTGCCACCTCCTGTGGATCCGCTGGGGATACACATATGTTGTTGCTCTGGCCACTGCCAGAGATGGCAGCTCCCAGGACAGCAGACCCTAAACTCTCTTGAGGGGGAGCCGGGGGCCTCCCAACACACAGAGAAGAAACATGGCCCAGTGTATTGCACAGCACGCCCGTCAGACACCTTCCTGTGTGGCCTGTTCCGGGAGTCCGTGACCATCCTCTCATTCCCGGGGATGAGGGGCTGCCCCCAGGCATGGGGGACTGGGCCCCCTCCAAGGCTGCCCAGATTCCCCCTCTGCCTGTTCCCCAGGGGAGGGATGGGTTGGGGGTTCTGAGCCGGGGAGGGCTGATCCTGCCGTTCAGAGCCTTCCTCTTTGCAGAAATCTCTCCAGACCTCGCTGTTTCGGAGGCGGCTGGGGACCCGGGCTGCCTTTGAAGTCCTGTCCTCCACGGCGGGGGAGGGAGGAGCCTTCCCTCAGGCGTGAGTGCTGAGCATGGACCCTCTTCTCCCTGAGGGTGGGCGCTGTGGCTGCTGGGCAGGGGCCGGGTGTTCATTAGGGGCTTCTCATGCTCGGCCTGTCCCTCGCCGCTGCTGGCTGGCACCCGACTCACAGAAGCCACCATGTCCCTGGCGCTCTGTAGTTCCCGGCATCCTTGCCCTGAGTCCATGCCTTTATCTTCGTGCCCCTCAGGGACCCTGGGCTGGTGAAGGGCTGAGCGGCCTGACCTTCTCCTTGTCCCCCTTCTGTGCTGACTTAGGCAGCAGAGCCAGAGGTGCGTGGGCCAGGTGTCCACACCACCGTCCTGCTTGGAAATGAGGGCAGAGAGCTTGAGGGACACTGCGGTGGCAAGTTCTGGTCCTGACTGCTCATAGTGGTGAAGTCAGTTTGCCCCTCCTCGGGGGTCGGCAGTGGCAGGACACTCCTTACAGGGGCTCTTGTTGTGGCTTAGGCTGCAAAGTGGCTTCACGGCAAAGCTCAAGCCAGACGCCAGGACTGGAGGACTCAGGCCCGGGTTCCGAGCGGGGCTGAGCTGGCTGTGCTGACTGGGCTGTGGGTTTTTCCTGCAGAGTTGGGGTGAAGCCCCAGAACCTGCTGCAGGTGCTTCAGAAGGTCCAGCTGGACAGCTCCCACAAACAGGCCATGATGGAGGTACCCGCCCCTGCTCCCAGCCTCCTCTGGGCTCCTCCCGGGAGGGCACTTGGGCCAGCAGCTCCTTTTCAGGACTGGGTGTGTGGCTTGAGGTCACCTGCAGCGTTCACAGCCCGTCGGGGTGGGGTTGGGGCTGGGGGCACTCAGCTCCGTGTGCTGCGCTGAGATACACCGGCCAGCGTTCGACAGCCCGTCGGTGGTTGGGGTTGGGGGGCACTCAGGCCCGAGGGGCGTTCACGCTTCCCGGGTGCCTGCTGACCTGCGCTCCTTGTCCTGCGAAGGTGCGTTCCTACGGCGGTGTTCGCTCTTCGGGGCTGGCGGAGTTTCGAAACTCTTAGAGGGCCCTTGGACAGAATGTGCGGTTAAAGAGGGCTAAGTGGGCCCCGCTGCCCAGGGCGGGATGGGGGGGCCTTCCAGGCTTTCCAGAAGCCCATGATCACCTGGGACTCCTCTAATGGCATGGGCGCCAGGGATTCGGCTGCAGGGGTCCTGGTCCTAGGAGGGCAATCTGGGAATGGAGATGCTCCTTTGGCCTTTGGAGATTGGGGAGATTTTATGAAATTCCCCCAGGCCGGAACTCGCCTGAGCCAGCCGACAAAATACAATTCTTCCAAGTGGTGCTCTTCCATTTTCCGTGACAGACTCCCCTTTTCCTGTCTGTCTTTTCGTAGGAGGTCCGCATTGCTGGTCCTCTCCCCAAGGCCTTTTGTCTTTCGCCCTTGACACGGGTTTGACGAGTTCCCGGATGGGGCCTTCAGGCAGCCGTCTAAGCTCTTGTTGTCCGACGGCCTGGGCAGGGGGGCGGCGAGACATTGGGAAACCAGCCAGGTGCTCACAGGCGAGTGCCGCCGGCAGCACGGGGGCCTGCGCGTTCCAGCTGCTCAGCTCAGGAGACTGAGGCCGCGACCCTGAACAGGGAGTGCGGCACAGAGGCCGGACAGTTGCAAGTTTTAGTGCCTGGCCAGTTCTGCGGTCACCTTTTCTCGTTTGCTCAGGGTCCTGCGGACTGCTGACGGTGCAGGGGTGGGTGTGTTGTGACATTTGTCATCTCACGGGTCCTGGGCCGATCAGGGTCCGCACAGGCCAAGCGTGTCCACAGGCTGGTTCCTCCTGGAGGGGGGCCCCTCTCTAGTTGCGCTTGTGTGTGGTGCCACCCTCTCCCTGGTGTCCGTCACGCAGAGGCCCTCTTTCCGCTGCCCTGTAGACATGTCACCTTCTCCCTTTGTCCCACCTGACGGTCTTTTCTCGCGGTAGGTCTGTAGATCCCACCTCTTCCTGTGTGCCCGTCACAGAGGCCTCTCTCCGTGGCTGTAGACAGTCACCTTCTCCCTGCTGTCGGCTCACGTGGGTATCCAACCGCTTCTGTGTGCAATCTCCTCTTCTTGAAAACGGACCGCTATTCAGACTTGGATGATCGGGGCCCTATTCTGAACGCGCTTGTTTTAGAACAAATTACCTGTTTAAAAGGCTGCACATTCTGAGCTACTGGGGGTTAGAGGTTAAGATACGATTCTGTGAGGGAGACAAATTTCAGACCCAGCGAGCTGTCACGGGTGCCTCAGGATTCTGTCGGCCTCTGTTGCTGGCAGCCCCCGTGTCAGAGGTGGTTCTCCTAAGGAGAAACATGTTTTCCTAAAGGTGCCTTCCAGACCGTCTGGAGTCAGGCTCCTGCCCCAGACCTGAGCGTTGAGTGGCACGGCCGTCCCCATTGTCACTTTGGGCAGATCCCCTTTAGGGCTGCATCCTCAGTGTGGCCCCCCCAACCCCTTGGGCATGGGCGATTTAGTTGGGTGAGGATCAACCAGGCGGCACTTAAGTATTCACAGCCATCCAACCCTCTGTTTTGGGACC